TATGTTATGTATAATGCCTTTCCTGTGTTTGCTAATGAAGAAATAGGACACTCCGGTTACTGCGCTCACCGCCTATTTAGCCCAGTTTGGTCTGGGCCCGTGGTTGGCTTAATAATCGACGACTACTGTAGTAGCAGAAGAAAGCAGAACTACACATTTGGAGGTGCCGTATGTGGGACGCCTGCCCGACCCTGCTGATCCAGGCGTTCTATAGTGAAAATGTGCCTGCGCCAGTCGACCTGCATGCCTGTGATCGCTTGCATACCATTCAGCATCCCGCGGTATCAGGGACGGATCTGGAAGTATGCGCAATATATTTGCATCTGGCTAGCTATGCGCCTGAACGAGAGATGCAAATTGATAAAAGACCCTGGGAGAAGGGTCATTGGAATGGGATTGTGCGAGTGAGCCGTCTTCCATCCAACTTCATTGGCTTAACATTGCGTTGAGCTAAAACAAATCCTTACCATCTAATCATGTGCTTTTTGGGACTGCCCTGAGCCTACTTGAGCATTTAATTCCATACAGCTCATATGCGTTAGACACGGTAGATTGACCCAATGCTGGCGGCGGGGAAGAGAGTGAGATCGACGATTCAGCACACTCTTCTCACTATAAACAAGCTGACGCGCTTGAATCTATCACAGTGCGCTAATAGCCGAGGCTTGGAGGGTTGCCACGTCTTGAACTGCGCAATCAGACCAGTTTGTGTTGTCTTGTGTGGAGTAGCTGACTGGCGGACTGGGAATCAGGCTGCAATGGCGCCCTCTTAATGTGACCTTTATAATACTCCCACGCAGCTGAGCTCTGATCCAGGTGTAGCAGCAGCGACCCATCCACCTGATCCTGCTTCCGGTCTTTTTGAACCTGTTACGACACCGGGCACAAGTGGGTGAGGGAAGAGAGCGAGTGTGGTAGATGCTGCGCAAGTCTACCATCATGTAAAACTAATTCAGGCACATGTCACCGTCCCTGTACCGCTCTGTTTGGAGTGCACGGCGGACATAGTCAAAATGGACGGTCGAACTGTCGTAAGCGTGGAGTTTTCTATTTTCGTTTGATGACTCCATTCAGTCTCATCAGCAGTCGGCTGAAAGGCTGGCTTTCTTCAGTGTACCAGAAAAGGAAGAGAATGTAGGGCTTACACTGACGTATCCCGTCTAATGACAATCCTCTTTTTTCTTCCTCATATGATCCGTTAAAGTTGAGGTTTGGAAGGCTGCCAGCAGGCAGAAAGAATGTTTTACTTTTAGGAATATGGACGGATCTTTATTACTGGGATCTGTTCGGCATCGTAGCGTGCGGCACATTGTAAGCCTATTATTATTAAGCGCTAGGAGGCCAACTCAACAGCGGACCTCCTTTCCACAATGTCATGTAGTTTCTGGTGCAACACCAGTTCTGAAACAGTCTTTTCTTATCTTCTTCGAAAGTGAAATTGCTCTAAACCCTTAAAAAATGTCCTATCATATTCACTGTTTGCGCATGTAATAGATACGCCTTCATAGACACGCCCGACATTTCTAGCATTCATATCAAATTAATACTTCAAGCTTACAATGACAGGACGTAGGTCACTTGTCCAGACCGTGGAACATCGTATTTGAAAGTTCCCGGTGAGTGACACAATCGAATTTATACCTTCCTTTACGGGGTCGGAGATTTATTTGTATCCTAATCAACCCCGAATTATTGGATTGAAGTAGGTATTTGGTCCCTAACCACGCACAAACCTTTAATCATTTTTTTCCTATGGAATAACTATAAGTTCCGACTTCTGTTAACCCTGTTTTGGAAAGACCCGATTAACCTGTAACACCCATCTAAGCTTTAACTTAGTTAATTAATATCAAGAAGCCGTGCCAAATTCATTTGGATTACTGCACACTAAAACATCATAAGGGCCTCTGAAAGACGCATCAATGAACCGAAACCCATGCTGTTGCGTTCAGGGTTTTTTATATTATAGCTTGAGTGTTAGTTTGGAGGAAATTACCATGCGAAAACCTTTTATAGTTTTGACAGGTCTTAAGCAAAAATCCCTAATAATATTATGTTATAAGGAAAAACCGAAAGGACACAAAACTATCCCAAATTGGGGCACTTCATCAGGGCCTTTATTTGAAGTTTCTTGTGCGTTTTTCTAAAAAGGAGGATCGTTTGTTAATTTAATTTTGGTACAAACTTACCTACCATTTGATTAAATTTTTAAATGGAACTTCTAGCAAAAGGAGTAAATGCAGGCCATCTAAGTGGAAATTAACAGGCAACAAACAAATTACTTTCCATTGAATAAATAAGTATACTAAACGTGCTGGTCTCGCGGCATTATAGTTCACCATTTTCAGCTCGGAATAAAATACTGCTTGTTAACGCTCCTACCTAAATGGTGGCGGCGGTACCGCAAGGGAGTGAAGCGAAGTGCAAAGCCTGGAACGCAAAAGCGGGAGGGAAAGAGCCAGCGAGAGAGAGAGAGATCGAGACAGAGCGAGAGATATATAGTGACACACACAAGGCGCTGGTGGCAGGCAGAATTCCGTCAACCTGATTGGGTGCCAATCACCCGTGCATTCACGCACAACTACTAAGACGACCTTGAAGGTGGCGAAAGCATGAGGATTGCACGCACAACGCC